TCTCACCCGGGCCTCACCTTCCGTTTCGTCGCTTTGTCCTTCGTCCTCCGGCCGCTTCCAACGGATTTTCGACATCCTCCTTCTAACGGGCGCCCTCCTTTACGGACCCGCGTTGCTCGTAGTCGTTGATTACCTTTTTCATTCGAGGAAGCAGGCCAAAGGAACGGGATCGAGAGACGCGCGATGGACGATCGCGATCGGTACGGTTAATCGATGGCAAGAAGACGACCGATATGCCAATACTATTGTCCATATCTATAATTAATAATGAATGGTAACACATATACGTCTCCCTGGCAGAATTAACCTCAGGTAAACGTGCAAATTTGCATGTATTTTAATTCAAGTGTTCATTTATATGCATATGGTGCTTTAAATTGAATACCTTTTATTTTTATTAAAATTATACGACTCCGTTTCTGACTGAAATTTAAATATAGTACTTATTACCTGTACAAATTTCAGGAGAAATAAAACGAAATATCTATAATACAATTGAAATTTCTTACATGCGTGCAGACGTTTTTACGTTATCTTCGTACGGTCTTGTGATATACATATTTCGCGATCGCGGAAGAAATGCAGATCGTGTAACGTTGCGCACGAGTAATCTCTGAAAACCGATCTCAATTATGTTTCGGAAAAGGGCACAGTTTCATATAGGTGGAGAGATCGGGGTGCCCTTGGGAAAATCACTTTCCTTCCGCGAGCGTAACAGCCGGTTATCTCCGTTCCATGGCGCAACGTCCTTCCGGGACGTTTACGGATGCGTGCTCGTTACGTGCGAATCTACAAACTATCGGCGAGTCCCCTCGTGAACCGTAGGTGCGAACGCAAACAGGGAAGAGAGGCCGGCGACGGCGGCGACGTTGATTATACGAGATGGCTGGGGGAGGGGGGGAGGGGGGAGGGGGGAGGCAGAGGGAGACGCGAAAGACGGAAGAAAGACGGTAGCACGAAATCTCGGATGCGCCGGTAACACAGGCCTCGTCGTACTTTCACTTCCTTTCCTCCCATCCCCTCCTCTTTCTCCGTCTCTTCCTCTTTTCCTCGCGGTCGCTCCCTCCGGCTCTTCCTCCCTGTCTCACTCCCTCCTTCTCTTTCTTCTTCATAGAACTACTTTTCCTTTCAAGTCCTTGACTGGGGTGTCCCAGGGAAGAGGTGTCCCATCCATGAATTTCAAAATTTTGGCGACTCTAGGGTCGCGAAGTACGAATCGCGGCTTCCATTCGAAGCTGGCGTTCGTCGGTTCATCTTCGGGTCCCCCGTCATTCTCATCCCTCCCTGCCCACGTCGTCGTCGTGTGAGATCAATAGTTGCGTGTCTTCTCTTGTAAATATTGCCGGCCTTATCACTGAACGAACTATGAGATACGAAGAAAAAGAGAAGAAAGGACGAGACGAAGGTGGTAGTGGAGGAAGAATGAAGAAGTGAATTCGCGGGATGACCTCTCGCTTTGCGAGATGAGAGGAAGGGAAAGAGATAACCGCTGCTGAACGCGAGTGGCAGAATGGTGCGAGCGAGAAAAGAGCATCATCGCATCGACGCCGTGGAGCGAAGCAGCGGGGAACGAAGAGGGCGGTGGGCCGTTTCGCGCGTGTGGCAACGCTTTCGTGCGAAAGAAGAGAGGAGACGAAGTGGATGACGGCGAAGGGAGGAAGAAAGAGAGGGATGGAGAAGCGGTCGGTCGAGACTGGTCGGACAAGAAGATGAGAGAGAAGCGAACGCGCGAAGGCGCACACCGGGTCGGATCGTAAAGGGAGGTGAGCGGAGAGCTGGCAGACGAAGGAAGAAGAGAAAGAGAGAGAGAGGGAAGGAGGGCGAGGGAGAAAGAAGGAAAGAAGGGAAGAAAAAGAGAGGATGAGAGACGGGGGAAAAGCGGGAAGACGACGAAGCGAGGTGAGTCGAGATGATGCAGTTGTGCGTTTGCAAGGAAGGCGGAAGGAGGAACCGCGGAGGGAACCGGTCCCGGTCACTGGGCCACCAGCCGGCCGTCGAACCCGCCACACTGCCCCCTACCGCCCCCTCCTCTCTCATTCTCTTCCTTCACCCCTCTACGCCCTTCATTCCCCCCGTCCCCAATGTGTTACCTCCTTGCGAACCTCACGTCGTTCCTTGCAACCGGCAAGTCGCGTTGCCTTCAAGTTCTTCAAACAATGTCAACTCACGTCACTGATAATGCTGTCTCCTCCTGCGACTATGTTTACTGTCTGTTGTGCTGGATGCTGCTCCTCTTCCCTTTTGACCTCGCGCTGCTTGGTTTTGCCCCTCGAGGGCAAAATGCGTTTTTGAGACAAGCCGACTTTGCTTGTGACGAATACTCATATTTTATATGTGTACTTGCGAAATGATCAATATTTATCAATAGCATGAAAACTAATTCCACAGTTTTTCATTTAATGTATACAATTAATTTAATTATTCTTTTAACTTATACAATTCATACAATTAGATGCAACATAATAGATTTGAATAATAGCGTTAAATTGATAAAGCTTATGCAGTGTTTTTTTAAATCGTAAGAGCTGATAACGATTTTTCTTTTTAAGACTTTTTTACATGGAAATTTTGCATTAATATGTAAATTACTATAAATTTAAGCTTGTAACGTTAGATTGATGGAACTTTAATTAAGATAATGAAGATTATGTAAATATTCATCTTTTATAATCCATTCAATTGGCATAACATCAGCATTCTTGCAAAATGATGCCAGCATTAGTGTTTTGGATCGTGCTTTCGATCGTGAGAAAGCCAACGCGATGGTAACGCAAACGGAAGTTTGCCTTGCTCGTGGTAATCTCTACGAGATACGCCAAACATTTTCTCTTAATTAAGAAAGGACGTAGCGTAATTAAGTTTCCCTTCCACAGCATTCTCTTTACTCGAGAGTCAAGCTTATAAAATGTACTCAGTAATTGTTGAATGCGGTTTAATCCATTGATAAATATATAAAATGATAGAATTAAAAATACATATTTATCTGACAATTTTTAAAAAATATTTTTATATTTTGCGACATCTTCGTAATCCTATATAACGCATAATTAATTAAAAACAAAATAATAATGTTGAAAAAAATCATCTCGAGTGTGCATGCATATATTTTTAATAATTTGTAATAATTATATATATATATATATTTTTTTAAATATGTTAGAGTTGAATATTTTTTATGAAAGAAGAATGTTATATACAAGTCTTAAAATAAAGAAAATTTTACAACAACGTACACATTTAGAAATATTTCTAAAGAAAATTGTTTAATTCGCAATAAATTTATCCAGCATAATCATATATATATATATAGTTCAATAATTAAAAATATTTCATAATTTATAATAATTATGTATATTTAGTCGTTTATGCATTACTATGCATGAAATGGTACTATTGCATGAAATTTATCATAAAAATTATATGAAGTTTAACTAATAATAATTATAATTATGTAGCTGTACTTTGAAAATTAATTGACATTAGAAGCACTATGGCTAGCACATTTTTTTAGAGATTAAAACATATTGATATATCAATTAAAAATGTATTAAATTGAGATATACTGACTGCTAGTAATTAATATAAAATGATTTTAGGAACACCGTTCTCCTTAATAGAAAATACTACGAGGTGTACCAACTGTAGATATATCTCACTGACTTCGGATATACTAGATATCTCTTACGTCAGAGATTTTACTGGCTATAGATAGCAGATTATGCTTGGATGTATCAGATTTTGTTCGATCGATAATCGCAATACATTTTTAAAAAATTTATATTAAATAATCTTTTTTGAGAACAAAATAATCCGGAAAATGGAAGTAATGCAATTGAATAAAATAATAGCAAAGAGGATATGAAAAAAGATTTACATTTATTCATACAAATACATTACAGATCGAAAGCATATAATTCAGCAAAAGAGTGAATAAAAAATTGGTGGTAAAAAACCAAGTTAAAATCGATGATGAGATTAAAGGATTCGTCATACATGCGTGATAGCTCGTAAATTCTCATGTCACACACGAATATCTCATAACTTGATATATTGTCAAACTAGGGTTCAATTTTTTTGGACATTTGATTGACTTATTGCTCCGTGATACATGGTTTCTCAATTAGATGGACAGGCTTGACAGAGTTCACAGGTTTGACAGAGTTCACAGTCCTTCGCGACTGAACACTTGGCGATCGGCGCACAAGATGATCCAAAAGGATCGCAGGGAACTTCGCAGGGCGAGGAAGGCGATGTGCAGACAGGTTTACAGTCGAGCTCATGGACGTACTCGTAGGGAAACTCGTTTCGTAGTGTCAGACATTTTCCTTGGATCAGGTAACAATAGGACAGGGCTAGGACAGGATTGCCGCTGTACGGGATGTCATCAGGTCGATGTAGATGCCCGTATAAATCGATGTGCGTGTACTTTAAAGGAGTACCACTACAAACTCCATGCTGGAATCGATATGAAATGGATGAGAAAGAAAAGAAGACATAAAGGAAGAAGAGAAAAATCTGTATGAGAGAGAGAGAAGGAAGGAAAAGGCGGATGAAGAACAAAAATGGATAAATTTAACCATCTTTTAATTTACGTCATTGTAATGGGAAAGCTTCTTAATCTACCACTAATGCTTGTTTACGGCATCTGCGTTAAATCGATCGCCTTTCAAAGATTTATTGAACTTAATTCAGGAGAATCAAGTGAATAATGAGCATTTTTAATTGATAAATGTTATATAACGTAATGCGAATATTTTTGCACAAGATGTTAAAATATTTGTAAACTCATCGTAACGATTTAACATTTTATAATATTTCCGATGTGTGATATGTGAGAGAAATTTTTGTCTTCAAATAATCAGAACCGTTTACAGACATATATTTAGCACCGCGATTTTGTAAAGAGAAACTTCAAAAATATATAAGTTATTAAATGATTAAATACTAAATTTTTTACTGTATTCCTGAGAAATAAATTTATTATTTCTATTATTGTCTATCAATAGAAATAAAAATTTGTTACTTCTAAAATTTTGCCATCTTAAATATGTGTCTGTAACATTTATTAATAAGTTTGACACTGTACAAATAATTCTATAATAATCGTTTATGTGAATGTGATTATTTGAAATAAATTTATATAATTTGTACAGCTTACGCGGAAGAGGATCAAGGATTTACGAATAATTAATCGTTATTTTTCGGATAATATGCAAAATTCTTTAGCGCGAGCTTTTAAATATTAATTATTTTAAAGATATCTTAACGAATAAGGCAGTTGGTATTAATATATCACGGATCTTTGGTGTCCGCAGTATCTATTTTATCAAAAAGAAACGCTTTAGCTAGTGCTAAAATCGGAGAACCGGTTGGTTGTTCAGGTAAATCACCGGCACTGCCGGCTATATCCAGGTGACAGTATTTTAAAGGCTTCTCCGATCCAATACCGTGCTAAAAGTCATAAGTTGTTAAAAAAATATGATAATATTTGACAATACGTTAAAATCTCAAGTAAAAAAAGAGGTAATAAAAATGCGATACCTTGTCTATTCCAGACGCCTTAATTAGAAAAGCGGCCGGTCCTTGATGACCTCGCGGAATTTTGGAACTAAGTTGATTCACCGCTTGACGAATGTCGTCACCTTCCGCGATTCCCTCATGGAAGTGAAAATCCTCTCTACGTATTCGCGATATTTCAAAAGGATCACCCATAGTTTCACCGGAAGCTTGAAGCTTCTCCGCATTACTTGATAGTCGTGCCACAGCGTTATCCATCGCAATCTATAACAATGAATATATATTATTATATATAAATATAATATTAAATATAATATTATATATAAATATTATTATTATATATAAATATATTATATATATGAATTATATGTAGAAAATAGATGAAATGTTTTTTAGAGATAATAAAGGGATGAGTTATGGTTAGCGTACAACGAGCAATTTTTATGATGAGCTTATATATGCTTTCATATCACACGTCATTTTATATCATGTCCGGAATTCGATATAACGCTAGGCGCGAGTAAACTGCGCACTGCATCTAAGTCATTTATAACTCTGTCCAATTAAGCTCTCCTCAATGAATCAACAAATACGTAACTGTCTGTATACATTCCCCGTCACTTCGCGCGTGGAATAGCTAGTTTTGTTATTCGTGTACGCGATGGTAACATAACGAGATTATTCGCTCTCTCTCTGTTATTTCATGACTATATCGTCATGTGACCGATAGAAATTCAAGTAGTTGCGCGTGTTATCTCGACATTAATTGAAATGCGATTAAAAACGTACGGTTAATAACGAGCGAGAATAAATTAAAAACTTACGGAATATCCTGGACCCGCGGATAAGAATGCGTGACCTGTCAACGTGGCTATCGTGAAGAGATGCGGGTTCACGGAACACAGGGCCATTTCTTTGAGATGATACAGGGCATCGGCCATAGCCATTCTGCCCTCGGCGTCCGTGTTGCCCACGCGTACCCTCGCACCGGATTTTGCCGTTATCAATTCATCAGCAACATAACAGTTCTCGCCTACGCTATTTCTTACTACGCATAAAGCGGCGACGACCTTGACTGTCGGTGGTTGCAATAAATTCACTGTCTACAATGTTCAAAAAGAATGATCTTTTTTTACGATATGTATGAAATTATCTTTGCACAATTAAATTTTTATGCATTATTTTTTTAATTCGCGGTTTTGATAAATTTGTTATAAATGATTATTCTTAAAATTCTTGATTTTTTTCTATATCAGAATGTCAAGCGATATATTTGTCATTTTGATATAAAAAAAAATAAGAAATTTTTAGAATCAATTTTGAAAAAATTTACCGGTAAAATCGCGAATAAAAATAATGATATATAAAAATATACAGGGTGTTTCTCAATAAGTGCGAAAAATTTTAGGAGATGATTCTTTGTCGAAAATTAAGGGGAGTTTTTCATAGAAATATACTCCTACATTCATCTTTATGGAGTTACACTCTTCCACAAATGGGGGTAAAAATTAGATTTTTATTTTTTTCTCAAATTTGGAACAAGTTAGTAAAGAAGTAAAATTAGACGGATATTTTCTACTAGTAAAAAGGTTATTAATATTTTTTCAGTCTCCTGTATTGTTATAACCCCTTATAAGGAGTTGCTAGAATAGGGGTTGCTAGTTTTATCCCCATAAAACTAGCAACCCCTATTCTAGCAACTCCTATAACATTTTATTAAAACTTTTTAATGTTTGTATGAAAAACCCCTTAATTTTCGACAAAGAATCTAAAATTTCTCGCACTTATTAAGAAACATCCTGTGTATGTAGAGAGGGGAGAAAAAAGAGGGAGGAAGAGAGAATATGCAACAAATTATTAATGCATTCTACATCATGTCGTAAGGGCTAGAACAGCGATGATCGTTTCAAGGATGTTCCAACTCGCGTAGTTGGGCAGAGAACTTATTAAAGCGCAATTAATAGAGGCGAAATGAAGCACGATCGTTTCCGGCATGATGTATTGCGCCACGCTTGACGATATATTATGCGGCACCTGCATGAATCCAGCGCAGGCGGCCGCGCCACATTTGTCCCTCGACATGCCTGCCATGATGCCTTGGCACTTGATGTCGGCGCCACCGGTATCATAAGTGACACCCTTTCCCACGAGCATGATCGTCTCCAAGACGCAGGTGGGCGGCTCGTAGGTCAAAAATATAATCCTACCGGCGTGACGCGGTATCACCGAAGCAGCGCGATTTACACAGGCGAACAGCGGGTATTCCTGAAGCAGGGTGTCCTGATCGGATATCACTTGTATCGTGATATTCGATCCGCAAAACAGCTCCACCAGATATTCCTCCACTCGCAAGGGTGCCATTCTTTCGGGATCTGCGCCTCCTAATTTAACGTGAAATAAAAACAGAGATCCGTTGGATGTTATTAGAATACGAACAAATATTAATAGAATACAACGTAATAAAAATGTGGATTTAATCCGTAAATATTAATAGAAATAAAGTATTTGATGTTGACAAAATAATTGGAAGAGAAACATTCTGTTTGTAGCACCTTTTATTTTTAGATACCTCGCCACTTCCAATAATTTACTTGATGAAAATGGAGAAACATATGATGTACTTTTTTAATTGATTCTTTAGTACGAATCAGGCTTTTTATAGTAATTAATTATTTTTCCTTTAGCTTTTATATCATTTCGTATATTACTGTCTATATTTGATTAAGTTATAAATTAATTTATTGATTGATTCGTAGAAATAAATTTTACATCTATTTATTTTATACGCAAATTGAAATATGAAACATTAAATTCTATTTTTTTTTCTACAAGAAATGCATTCCATCCAATTAATTTCAGAAAACAACATTTCTCATCAACTGCATATCATAATTATTTTTATTATTTGACAAGCTAAAGCCACAAGGCTGTTAATTAATTATTTGTCCCTTGTTATTGTTGTTTGATGGAAAAATATAAAGAGTAAATACTGCTACCGACAAAGTCATTGTTATTGATATTGCAATTATGATATTGCAAGTAAATTTCAATATATTGTTGAAATTAACAGAAATCTCGCGATACAATCGATAAAAAATTTATGTGCCTTAAGTCAACAATACGAATTTCTTTTCCGATCTGCGCTGGTAATGTTGAAAAATTCACGCTCCGTGTATTATTTATTCTTCACTCTGGCACATGCGAATGATTCAGACTTGGCTGAGCCTGCGGCCAGGTCATCAGAGTTTACTTTACGAAATTGTATTATTCACTTTCCTAGTTTTACTGTGCGAGAATAAGTGAATATACGTTCTGTATTCAACACAACTAAACAGGAATATGTATGAAAGTTTGTGATAAACGTGTATTGCTTGATTCCGGTGAAAATACCATGCGTAAAATACAATGAATTATTGAAATGTGAAGGCAACCGTAAAAAGTATCAATTATTACTAATTGCCCAGCGGGAATTTTTTGTTTTCTTGCTTTGTTCGCGAAGCGTAACGTTAAAAATGAACACTTAAATTCTCCAAATCGCCGGCTATTTAAACTTTAAACTCGATAATTCCCAGGGGCCATTTCAACTGAACTTAAAGCACCGGAACACGGAAGAGCGAGCGGGTTGTGCTCGATTAATCGGGAGCCGAAAGACCTCTCTCGGACAAGTGGAAAGCCACAGGCGATTTTCCTCTCTCAAGCTTATTTTCTTCCACGAGAAGCGGAAACTCGCGACGGAAACCTGTGCACCTCTTCCTTTACGCGACAGGAAAACCTGCTCCGCTCACTTGATAAAGTACTGTGAATTGTATGTGTATATGTATATATATATATATATATATATATATATATATATATGACTGGAACAGAACAGTATAGAACTTACCAATGTCCCTTGCGACGTATCTGCCACTCTCGAGCGCCGAGGCGAGTTTCACGATACCCTGAAGCTTCTTAGGACAAATCGGACTCCACACTCCGAGTTGACACGCTTTGTAACGCCGATCCGGACATATCTCTCGCACCTCCAAAGGCTATGAAAATATCACATATTGCGAGTTGAAAATTATGAATGATAAAAAACAAACAAATAAATAAAAATATGAATAACAATAAGAATAAAATATGAATGCGAATATGAATAAGAATGATATAGCAAACAACAAAGTAACAAGATTGTATTTTTAAAAATAATAATAATAATAATAGAAATTTTTTATCATGTATATTAAAATTTTAGTTTAAGATTATTAAAAGATTTCTAGGTTTATACAAAAACTTCGCGCTCGCGGCTCTTTATAATAAAATATGTATCAAGTATGGTTTATCAAGTGTTTATGCATTTTCTTAACTTGTATTAAAACGACTTAACTTTGAAATATGTTACATATATGTATTTGCAATTTGCACGTATCATTTATTCGTATCATGTATCATTTGCATATATCAGTTATTATTTTCTTTTCATAGAGTACAATAAAGAAAAAGAAGTTTATTCGTCCACATAAAATGTTAAGTATGATAATCTTCTTATCGGATAAGCGCTTTTGATAATGAATTATAGCTCTTATGGACTTACTATAAACCGACTGAAAGATTTTCTATCCGATTTATATGTTCAACAAAGACGCAAATAGCTGTCTTTGCTTGAAAAATTTAATATTTCAAAATATGTAACATTTTTTCTTTAAAAAAATTTCTTAAATATCCATTTTAGTTTATATTAAAATTATTATGAAAAAGTCGCAGCTTCGATAATATTCAAATTATAATTCATGCGTAATTTAAAAAATTCCAGAGGAGAAATATTCTCATAATTTTTTCACGTAATAAAACTTGGAATATAGCAAGCTAGTTCTTTTTACACGATTATTCCTCAAATTTTTTCCAATAAAAAAACTCCGCGACACGTGCTTGGCCCGTTCTATGGCGAGCGACATTTTGCATTGTCACTTGATGCGCGTTCGTGCGGCTTGCGAGCAAGCGGAAAGAATCGAAAAAATAAAGAAAAAAATTGCGAACTTCACGAGTACAACGATAAAGAAGGAGATTCACGTAACGTTCGCGATGTTCTGATTACGCGACACAGAAATTCCAAGGATGCTTTCGATATTTGGAAAACGATGCCTCGTATTTGATGGAAGGAACGAGCGACGCGGGAGAGGAAAGGGGGTTGTACAAAGGAGAGGGAATTATCAGGAAAGAAGCGTAGGAGTTCGTCGCCGCGGGCTGAGAGAACGGTAGGAAGTTGAGACGATGGAGACAGGCGGGAGAAGGAAGGCTCGAGTATTTCGCTAATTAGGTCGCCTCGCCGGCCGCCAGGATTCAGGAACGCCAAGCATTTGCTACTCTTGAGAGATAGGGCAGAGTACTCGGCTTACCCCCGCCGCGACCTTCTAACTCTCCCCTACTACAATCCGCCATCTCCCACAAACAAGCCTCCTCCTCCACCGACCGACTGCTCCTCTCTTGGTGGTCCGAACTTAGAATTTTGGTCCTTGAACTTAGAAGACAAGAATCCCCGTTATGTACGGACGTTAAGAGAGTTACGAGAATGTCCGCCACGTTAGTAAGTCTTACCGCGCGTTAAGTAATGCCTCGGAAGAAATAGATTCAGATATTTCTTATAGAGTAGATGCACAATATTGGTGTCGATATAGATCGATTCGACATCAGGGATGATTTTTAAGCCGAACATAGAAATTAACTATACATATAGTATTAAAAATTAAAATACTGGCAATTTGAGATTATCTCATTCATCAATGATTTATCCGATTAATTAATGATACATGTCATCCACAATAATATTATTGACACATTATTGTGATTATTTCTCGAAACAATTAATATTGTATCAAACTTTAATATTTGAATATCAATGCAGAATGTTTTATTCAAAGCTTGAATGACACTGTCACATCAAATTATCAATAAATTAAATTGGCCCAATTTTAAGAAATGTACATTACATGATGCACATGTATAAAGGATTACGTTATTTTTTAAAAAGCATAGCAATACGCGTAAAAATAATATATCTATAATAATATATATCTTCAATTTAATTTCTTCAATTAAATAAATCTATAATAATATATATCTTTAATTTAATTTCTATATAATAAATTCTGTCTAGGAAATTGATAGAAAGTTAAAGATATGTGTTATACGTAAATATATGTAATAATATTTATAATATTAAATATTACAATATTAAATGTATTTAAGAAAGTAAGTTATGTAATAAATAATATTATTATTTAATTATAAGAAAAATAATCATTTAAACATATAATAAATTCAAATTTTTCCTCTCTTTCTTTCTTTCTTTTTCTGGCATAATTTTAAAATGTAATACTTGTCTTTTTTCACAATGTAAAATGTAAGAGAAGACAGAGAGAAGAAACAATTCCTTGTTTCGTCTAAATGTATAATCTAGATACAAGCAAAGTCTTTCTTTTCCTTTATTTTATCGGCTTAAAGTTACTACCCCTTCGATGTCTCTGATTTTGAACAAGAAAGGGTGAATGTCCAGAGCCTTTATTCTGATACTCGTTTCTGTTTTGTGCCGAATAAATCAATATTATATTAATATTTATACATATTGCACGCTATTGGAAACTACAGTTTCAATGAAAAAGTAGTTCGAGTAAAAGAGAAACTTGTATATCAAATACGCGTGCGCACACAATGCTATTCTTTGTCCCCTTGCACTATTGTTCTATTATTTTATTTCGTAAAATAAAAGTGCCGTTGTAATACATAATTAAAATTGCTTTAGTTGTCATTATCGTAAAAAAAATTTTTTTAAATAATATTATATAATAAAAAAAATGCAATCGATCAATACGACAATAATAACATATGCAAGATAATATTCCATTATACATATAAAAATTCTCTAATTTTTAATCATTATTTCTCTCTATACATTATAAATTTCCCTTTGTCAAGAAATGTCATACATGAAATTTTGACATTTAATGCTTTCAATAGACTCTCTCAATGGCTACATCTAATTAAGTATGCTCAGTCAACGCGTATGCGAATGAGGCAGTCGATCGGACGGCTCGTCCTAGTAAAGCGATTACTAATAGAATCCGCAAATCGATCGCACCGCGCCGGATAACTTCCGACTTCGAAGTTCGCATAATAACACGGATACTATAGTCCGACCAGTAATTAACCATGGCGGCGCTGAGGTTAATGAACAATGGAGGTTGCAATCGAGTTGCGCAACCTGATATCCTCCGTAAGACATGCCGCACACTTATCCATCAAGCGCAGCTTGCGCCCGGTGACTGTCGGTGGCAGGTGTTGTTTGATGGCCGTGTTGACCGCGCTCTTCGCCGTATCTATCATCGGGCGATCGTTTATTCAAGATGTCGTTGAACGAGCCCCGTTTAAGAGCTAGGAGGTCTATAGTTTTATTTTCGATCGGTGCTGTAGACGCCGTTGTTGTTTGGCGCGTAATGTCGTGATGGTCTCCCTATCGCTGTCACACACATAGATTCGTGCCCGAGAAAAATGAGCCTCGAAAAAGCTCGAATTCGATCGATCGAGAATCCGCCGAGCGATTCTACTCGCTTAATCGACCGGAGACCGAACGCTCGCTCGATCGTAATGATTGCATTCGATGCACGGGTACTTGTATTAATCCTTTTCGTGGAATATACATGCATGCTAATTGCTCGAGATACACGTATATTCCCATCTCGTAACCGTGTCTCGTGATGGTTAAATAATGAATATCCGGGCGAAGGTTCGGAGTAACGACGCGGCCATTTGCGAACTGAATCTTATTGGAGTGATTGGATATTAATGGGGTAGAATTAATTTACATTTCTGCAAAATATCGCGGATTAGTCGAACTGCGTCACGCGGCTCGCACAGCCTCGTCATTAGTTATGGATTAAGATCACAGCAGCAATTTAGTTTATAGAAACAAGGTTTATGGATTTACTAGAGTTAGAATATGGTGAGCAACTCTTCCCTTTCCCCTCGAAACCAATCAGACCACAGCCCACCAAACTCGGCTGAAACACGGAGGTGAATTCCTTCCAAATACAACTACAGGTTTCCCATTTCGTTGACGTAAGTGCGCACAAAGCTGTACTGTATCTGTTTGATTGGTTTAAACGGCTCTTGTGTAACCACAACTGTACCAACTATCTGCGAAATGCCTTAAGCGGATATATATTGGCACAATCGAGTAACATTCGCTATCGATTCTCTCGATTTTGACCAGTGATTTTTCAATGATCTTTCTCTTTTTTTCATACTTCTAATAACTTATATATGGATGATAACTAGAAATTTGCTGATCGATTTACAATTTTTCCGTATTCATCAACTTTTGTAGAAATCTGTGGTTACTATTTTTAATTAAATTAAATCAAACGAAATAAATTACCTTTTTGTATAAATATACGTTTCTACGAGAAATAATGTTTCAATAATAAGATTAAGTTTTGATTAATTTATCGACCTTATTAAACTTTTACATGCATTTACGCGATTATGTGATCTTATTTTTTATTTATCGAATTTAAAATATTATGTTTATGGATGTAGAATTTCAAATGTATAATTCAAATATTATTTCAACACGTTAGTATTATTATGAATAATTCGCGATACGAAACTTACCACGTAGAGAGCCTCGAGTGCACCAAGAAGCGTGACCAGCTCGACATTCTCAAAACGATCATCCGGTAACAGCACTAATAGAGGACTCTTTACACCAGCTTGTAGAGCTCTGAATGCAAAAAAAATCACTCAAGTTTATAAACTATATTATATTAATATGTTATATTAATAAAAATATTTGATTATATAAGAAATGAAATTTGCATTAAAGTTATCAATTTTAAGCCACTCAGTAATCTTAAATTTTAATTCCATAATCTAAAATTATTATATTATATCCTAAGACGGATAAAATATAACGTGACGCAAGACGTTTTTTCCTGCTTGTCATGGATTCGATAGTTCTATTATTCATTAAAAGAAGGAATGTCGACGGAAGGATCAAACAGTCAAGAGGCTCCTTCTGCTGACAGATAGATAGACGAAAGAATGTCAATAATTTAAGAATTCAGTGATGGATCGAGAAAGACCCTAGAGACGGCAATTTGGACAGAAGATTGAAAGGCATTCACATTTTCGAGAGAAATCCGATCATAATTATTATATGATGTGGACATATCGTCAATGTTCAGCGATCGCCTATAGACATCGTGAATCTACACAATAATATTGATATCATAAAACTTACAATAGGGGAACTATATCCCGAAGGATACGTCCATGCAAAAAGGAAAAAGAGAAATGGATTTTCCCCAAGGATAGCTGCGGTTCTCATTGAATTCCGAGACACGAATGGCCATTTTCGCTCACTTCGTGTCCAATTTTCCTCTTGTCTTGTAACGCAAACGCAGCCACAAAACTGAGAATCCCTCATTTCTCCATCACGAACTACTAATCTATCCCCGAAGCATCGCTTTATCGTATTTAAACTTCGTTATATTCTCAATGCGCGCGTTGTTCGTACTTTAGAATTTCGAGAAACTGTCGTTTCATTGCGAATCTCTCGTTCTCGATTTAACAGAGCATTTCTGATTTGGTATTAATGTCGCGTAGGATCGTGGGTCATTATTATTCCAGGATTCCAAAAGGATTACAAATACCGCATTATTGCTTAGGTGCGTAACGGAGCGTGATAACATTTTGCTTGCAGAGAACATTAGTAATTAAGATATGGACGATATAAATCGGAGACTGAGACCGTCTTCCTCTGTAGAATATTAATAAGCTTGCGTATGTGTGTCTACACGAAAAGAGAAGAAAATAAAAGAGAGAAAAATAAATCTTATAAAAATAAGCAAATTGTTTTTAAATAATCGAACAGTTTACTTTCTATTAGAATTGTATTACATTAGATTCATCCGGATGTATATTAAAAGAAAATATATATTGAATAAAAATAAATCTTATAAAAATAAGCAAATTGTTTTTAAATAATTGAACAATTTACTTTCTATTAGAATTGTATTGCGTTAGATTCATCCAGATGTATATTAAAAGAAAATATATATTCAATAAAAATAAATCTTATAAAAATAAGCAAATTGTTTTTAAATAATCGAACACTTTACTTTCTACTAAAATTGTATTGCGTTAGATTCATCCAGATGTATATTAAAAGAAAATATATATTGAATCCTTATAACATATTTAATTAATTATAACTTATTTAATATATTTTTGTAAATATATTTTCTCTTATTAATTTTAATTCTAATATATATGTATAGAAATTTTATCAATTATATCATTATTAATTACATATTTTCAATATTTTCAATATTTATTAGTTATCAGATATTTCTAATGTAATTTTTTCAGTCGCGCCGAATCTAATACATCCTTCGACTAAATTTAATTGCATTGCAAAGCTGTACGAGATAGGATCCCCAATTTTTCTCATCTAAAGTGAAATATTCTCCACGCCAATCTTCCGTTGACGTTACTGCCCGTATGCAAAAAACAGTTGTGGCAAACAGACAGGAATTTTATTTTTCAATCGAATTTTAGGCAACGAACAGGCATATGGCTCGAGCGGAATTTCGTTCGCGCATCATTGCGTTTCCTCTATGCAGCTATTCGAGTTACACAAAATACTGTCAGTTCGTGACTCGCTCGTTTCGCCCGTTCGCTACAAGACCATCATTTCGCGACAATGAAACAAATATTCGCGCGTGAGTGCATTGGTATGCGGGTACGAAGATGTTCGAAATTGTAAACACGTAATCAAGGGCCTTTGATTAATTATTTCGATATTATAAATAATTAAAACGGGAATTCGGGAAATAATGGAGCAATTTTTTTAGAATTTTTCTGTAAATTATCGAGAACGTAATATAACGTATAATAACATTTCCCTGAACGTGCTCGCTGAGTCTAAATTTACACATACATCGAAAAACATTGGAATATACATATCGCGAAATTACAGCAGAATTTCACAAAATGTCTCTGAGGTGAAAAATATTTATTTGAAATATTACAGATATTAAAAATATATTATTAAAATCTTTTCCCTTAAATGAAATAAAAATTCATTGATTAGAACAGTGACGCAAGAATTCTTCGAAAATTAGTGAGCATTTCATTGGCCTTCATTAAAAATACACATTAAAAATCACACTTTGTTTTATGTTCACTGATTATGGCAGTAGGATTACACTGAAAAACCAGTAATAATCGTACATATTTACAAAATAATTTTTTAAAACTTTTTTTGAATTGCTTTTTTTGCTATTTTTGACAGAGAAATCTCTTTCATGCATTTGGAATGAAATACATATAATTAGTATGTATATTCAAGTTCAGAATTATGTAGATATTACATGTAGATATTTACACCTTTTTATTCTAAAACTATGATAAATCTATTAAGAAATCAACATTTTTTATTAAATTAGATTTTAATTTAGATATTGCTATAAATTTATCTCATGTATAGTATTATAATGTAATACAAAACGCATTTTAAAATATAAATTGATCAAAGCAATTACTGCTCCAACTAATTCTTTCATGAGATTTTATTGATTTGCAGTGTTATATTTATAATTGAGTTTATCAGTGATTATATTTTTTAGCGATAATACATTGATTCCATTTAAAAGAGTTGTGATCATCAATATTGAAATATTATGAAAATAAAATGACGCGAAAATTTGACGCGAAAAGTTATTGTTTATCATCAATAAATATTAATACATGTATATTGACAAAGAAATGGTATGTTAAAAATAGAGACTTCATTGAAATCGCCGAGATAAAAAACAGACATTTTACGGCAGAGGTAGATGCGCGGCATTGGTTTAATAGTATCGTGTCATTTTGTACCGTCGTTTCCTTTGTCTGCCGTTGTATAATATTTCCATCTCCCCGTGAAACGACAGATAACCGAGACTTATTCAGCGGCGTCGCAACCACGATTTAATTCACTGACAGCATATAAAGCGCTGAATTAACGGACAATTCCCAGTTTGGTAATGGCAGTTACCAAGAACCGCTAGAGACTTGCAAATTCTAAAGTTTAGGTTATTCATAATAACACAGTGTTTCGCACAAGTCAAAAAAAAACCGCAATGCATCAGGTATGCAATTTTGCATTTATCGTCAATTTTTATTTAATAGAATTTTTTATAAAGAAGATATATATATAAATAAATCTCTGTGAAAATTCTCTCGATAAATTTTCTTTTATTTTCTGACATTTATATCATAGTAAATATCATCAATTATTATACGCAGGTATTAAAATACTTGTAAAAATATTAATTTTATTTGTTGAAAATAATTCTTGTTAAAACTGTACATTGTGTATATATATATTTCCATATATCTATACATTATTTCGCTACACAATAACGAATTGATATTTATTCAGTCAAAACAATTAAACTTTTTGCTGCGAAAACAAAATGCATTTGATTGATTATAAACTACTTCGCAATAAACTAAATTAAATTTATTGCAGCAGTAAATTTATATTATTACAAATATATGTACAAATTTTTATTTTATATTTTATTTTCTTTTATTTTTATTTTATACTATGACAAGATTTTTTTGCGTAATATATCAAATAATTAATCACGGTTACAAAATTTAATCACTTTTCAAATATGAAATAATGTAATGATTTTGCTACGATATTAAATTCCTTTTCTCTGTGTGTGTATTCAGCAAACTCCGTTCATCGTTTATTTGTATATTTTTCGATATGTCATAAAGCCATATTTGAAACATGAAAGAATATGCCAATAACACATATACATAAAACACATACATACCTATGTCTGCGACGCTTTTATTATTGCTCGCGTTAAAAAGAAAGAATAAAGAGAAAGAAAAGCGTATGAGGTCACACAAAAGAATTACCGTTTTATTCCCTTCGTGGTAGCTTCTGCGAAGCTTCGCACATCGTGATAATCCATGTTAAGCGGGCCCGTTGGACTGTAAATGAGCCTTTTTGCGAGCAAATTGATGGGCAAAACCGCGCCGATCACGCCCAGTGCGGCATCGATCTGGGCAGCAGCGTAAAGGACGGTTTTGAAGGGTTCCGGCTCGTCGGATCCAGGAGCATTTCCTGACACCAAAATAATACCATCGTAATCGCCACTGCACAAATTCGTTTCAACTTTCAGCTGACACGGCATCCATCTGAAATGAATCATTATGCTTGTTATCCGATGCGCCGCTAATTATTGGTAAATCCGATTAAACGAAAGCAAAATAATTATTCATTAACAAAAACATGATATGCCAATTTCAGATCCGCATAATTACAACAGGGAAATCAATGCGGGGAAATAAAGTTTTTATCAGAACAAAAGAAGGAAAAAAAAACAAGATATTTAATAATCATAATTTAATTTAAATGATAAACATTATAATTATTTATCTACCAAAGAATGACGACACTCTATTTGATTTGAACGACGATGAATACATTTTTGTATAACAAAGATGCAAATACTTTGATTTTATTTTTTATTTTTTAAATGTCTGATTAAAATGATATACGCAACGATTTTTTTTCAATTATTATTATGACTGAATGCGCCAAAAGTTATCTGTCTAAAGTGAGAAGAACATATCATTCTTTTAGTACTAAATAAAGAAATATATATTATTGCAAATGCGGCTATAAAATAAATTAGAATACATGAATTAGAATAACAATTTACTTTTATTAGTAATAAATACATAAGATTAATCCACATTTTTGCAATGTGATAAAAATAAGAAATTTCTGTAAACTATAAGCAGAGAAAGGAATGAAATTTCCATATTTTTATTTCGATATATCTTGCAGTATTTATAGAACACTTGAATCATTGTTTGATTCTCGCTGCGGAAATGTTTATGTAAGTCCATCTCTTCGCATATTACAATTTTGCATTATTCCCGCGGTAAAATTGAATAGGAAAATGGACCGTATGTTCACGTATTGAAAAAGAAGTAAAATTACGCAATGTAACATATGCTTCATAACTAATTTCGAACTAGTGAATGATAGCGTACATTAAAACTGATAATGAGATAAATATTGATGCAATTTAAAACGTATGCTATTATTAAGCGCTATGATATACAATCTCGAAACGATCCAAAAATTTATTTCTCTTTATCTTATTCTTTTATTTTTTTTTTAATTTTTAAGTATATTTAAGCATATTATTTTAAAGCAAAATCATTATTTGCCAATAAATTCAAATCAATAACTAAACGAAAGATTATGACTTGTTTCACGTATTTAGGTAATTTTTGCCGATTATATTACGGTATTTTTGAACGATCGATACTATCATCTGTATAGCATGGCACAATAGAATTTCAGTAGCTCTGACGTCAGTAACTTGGAAAATCTTTTCTGTTTTGCAAATAATTCTCTCGAATTTCGTTTTCACGCAATAGATAGAACTTCACAAGAAAACAGAAAAAAAAACTTTTTATTATGTTTAATACAAGTAGTCTTATCAATTCTTATTTTTCGATAATTTATTTTAATAATGAATATTTAAGCAAAATTTAAAACTTATATAATATTTATATCTAACTGACTAACAAAATAAATTAAAAAGATACAAATTAATCAATTTTACTTGCAATAAATATGTTTATTTCATAATAATTATCCAAGCCTAGAAACTATTATTTTTATCTTGTTCCTATTTGTTTTATTGTTGTATATAAAAATAGTAATGTATGTTACATATTAAATATAAACAAAAATAATTATTTATTTATTTTTCAACTTGATTTTAATTTATTATACTTTATTTGACTTTACAATTAGATATCACAACATTTTATTAGAAAATAAATTTACATATGTGCATGTATTACCATGCTGTAATTATTCTATAAAAAATATGGCATTTTTATCGCCAACGGTACTCATAAATAGCGAGAGTTATCAGCTTTTACATTTAGTGCTAAATTAAAAGTGAATCGTTAAATGTGGGTCTTGGAAAACAGAATACTTCAGTTGGACAGCGCATAACTATTAGATAAGACCGTCGGCGGTACTTTCTACGTGGAATACATTTGCATTATATTAACAATACGTATCTATACAGCATCGCTTATCACACGGAAGTCGTCACTGTTAAATTGCTAGAATGTAAATATTCTAAAACTGCTGTTTAAAATATTAAAATAGTATTTACACACATAATATCCATATAATGTGATAAAAAATAGCATATGTTTTATGTTTTTGTTTCATTCCTGGTGTGTTTATGTAAATATATTTGTGATTAATATATGAATGTGTAAAAATATGAAAGTATGAAAGTAGTATAATTTTACATGTTCGTCAATATATTTTATGCAAATAAAATTTTATATAAGGATAATTTTATAAAATATACTATATAATTAACAACTATGTAATATAACTATAAAAAGACTAAACGGAAACGTAATAACAAAAATCCTTTTTATGTAACAAACAAATATTACAGATGGATACATGTATTATAGAAAATGCTGCGTGTAAAAATATTAAGGATAATTTCCAGAATAATGGCAGTTATTTATTTTAATTATTTAACAACAACTACTTTCAAAATATCTTATATCAAGTTGACATTGAATTAGTTGGGACATGGAGACAGTAATGTTTATTCTAGTTATAGTATATTAACGATTTTTATGATTATGAAGTGTTTTCTAACTAAAATAGTTGATTAGATTTAATATCGCGATCAGAAGGCATAGCGAGTTAATTGGCAATTTTATTTTAAATTTGAAGTATTTTTTTATTTGCAATTAATTTTATGATTTTAATCACGATAGTTCCTTTATATTCGTATGTCGACTTTTAATGCGCACGTTAACAGATTCTTCCTCTCGCGAAATCAACCCGGTCAACGCTGACTGGTCACAATTGAAGCACAATAACGTTGAATTCTATAGAAGATAATAAATCTCAAGAGTACACATGATATCGCGCGCGAGCGTGATAAATCGAACGTCGATCGATCGCGAACATAATCCAGCAGACAATAATGCCTCCCCGCGCGATTCCGAGCGTGTATATATATCACACGGTGATAATGAAGTTTTTGTAGATCTACGGCCATTGCTGCATCAGGTGTTTCCACAGGCTCGCTTCATGCGGTTTATGCATGATGCGCTAATAATTTACTGCTATCTATATCTGTGTCTGGTACACATCGAATCCGACAATGGCTATAAAGAGCGAAGAAGTCAGGAAAGGCGCAGGAGCAGTCTCGAAAAATTATGTTTCGTTCGCAGCGCAAGACATTTCGATGAATAATGTAACGCAAGCTTTTATCGTGGCTGGAATGTTATCACCGATATATTTGTGCACTTGTATATAAGCATGAGTCAAAGATGTCATATAAAACGTAACTCTCTCTTCTCTCTAAGCGCTCGCATAATACTCTTGTTATCGTTAAAATATGTAAAAATTCGAATAATGTTCTCGTTACTTTTCTGTCATTTTCTTTTGAGTTGTGGAAATTATCTGACTTTTGGAATGAATTTTCTGTAATAAAGTTTCGATATAAATTGTCACAAAATGCTTTCATTTATTATACATTGAAAATGTAATCTAAAAAAGAAATTGTTTCTCTTATTTATTTATATAAAAGATAAAAGCTTATTTTGGCTTTAAAAGCTTATTTTGGCTTTAATAATACATATTCTGATTAGCAATATATAATTTGAAATTTTTATCCGCACATATTTAGAAATATATTTTCTAAATATTAGAAATATATTTTCTAAACATATTTCTAAATATTTACTAAAATCTTCTCGAACTCGTTTTATAGTTTTTGCGTAATACGCAATATGTATATTCCGTATATATATTTTGACGGACTGCAATTAAATGATAAAGTGTATTTTCTAATATATAATAAAAATTAATTGTAATAAAATATAACAAAAATATAATAAAAACAAATTGTGATAAAATATTGTAATAAAATATATAATAAAAACTAATTGTGTTGATATATATAATTACAATTAATTTCAACGAGATGGATAACAAGTTTAACAAGTATGCAACAAATTAACCGCAGGTTAATCAGCGTAGTATCATGTCCCAATAAGCAACTTTCGGAGCTACAAATGATAAAATCGATTCAAAGTGGACACGATATATATGTACGCTTTTATTCGATATAATATATGCAATAATATTAAAATATTTATAACAGGATAAAAAAATATTGTTTGTCTTTCTTTCTCAATTTAGTTTTATCAAATTAAAGGTGCAAATCTACATGAATGTTCAGTAGATATCCAAATATTGAAAGTCTGTAATGTAGGTATATATTAAAGATGATATACTAAGTTGATTAGTAACTGATTTTACTAAATAATATTTCTTTTAATTAAAATAAAACCGCAAGTATAGATTCGATCAATATTGCTTGAGCAAAAGTTGTATAAACTAAGTTATTTAAGTATGATTTTATACGAAGCAGATTTTCTCGACTTTGTAAAATTATCACCTGTAAAAATATACTTATAGACTGTTTTTCTTATCAATTCATTATCAATGTTTTACGATATAGAATATCAACTTTTTACAAGAGCAACGGATATCTATTTGATAAGCTTTAAAGCAACGCTGTTAAGTTTCTACGAGAGAAAATTAAAAACAGCATTGCGGAAACTACATTATATATATTGGAGTTTGATATCAGTTTAGTTTTGATGAATGAAACTAACTTCTACCGCGCGCTTTCTGCAAACATGCACAATGTGCAATCAATCAGAGGCATGTTTTAAGTTGCGAGCTAATGATGCCGGAAACTTTGCAGCTTCGAAACAGTTGGGCACCACTGTCTCGTATAACAGTGTGAAACGAACCGACATTTGCTTGGAGGAACTCGTATTTCTCACGAGCAAACGCGAATCCGCAAGCGAATATGTTTACGTCGTATTTTCGACATAGACTACATAACTAATCACCGAAAACTTGAAATTTACACAGGAATTTCGAATTGCTCAGTAATTATATTATGCAATTATCATATGCAGTGCACATATCAACAATAACATTTTGATATTTAAATAAATTAAATTTATTCAATATTTAACTTATAACTAAATATTACGAATCAAAAAATGGCATTGCTTATTCGTGTTCCCAAAATAAAGCGGAAGTACCATGATATATAAATTTGATTTTTTTTGAAGAATAGAAAAATTTTGCATCTATAATAAATTTATGTTTCTTATGCCATTGAAATATATTAAAAAATGTTTTGTAAACATTTGTGAAATATAATTATAATTAATTATTTTTATTTTTTTCTTGAGATTTATTAGACGAACGCAGAACAAGCTTCTGATTAAGTGCATGTTGTGCATGTTTGCAGAAAACGCGTGATAATGTAATGAAATATGCATCATATTTCTGCTCATCTTTCTTATATTATTAAATAAGATGGATAATTAATGGTTGAATCCGAATCATTTGCGTCACTCTCATGAATAATTTTAACAGAACCCTCAAAAGAGAGTCGTTCGCGTTCCGTGAAGAGCATCTACCGGCACGCATTAGTCTCGGAGCACATGTGTGCAAATTTTCTGCGCATTTACCTCGATTCCACCGCCATGATGCGTTGCACTCACGCCGTATTTATAAGAAAGCTCCACAATAAGGTAGCACACAGACACGTTATTATTTTCTGTACCTTCGTACCAGTAAGAGACAGTACGTCTTCTATATAATCGACAAAAATAGTCACACAGCTGATCCGCGTGCTCCACGCGATTTTGCCGGCGTACTGTCAAAATGGAGGTATTCTCGTGGTTTAATCGAACGCCTCGAAAAAGCGAAGAGCGCAGAATCGAAACCGTACTCGTGGCTCGCGGCACGCTTCAAACCTGAAAGTCGGCGATGATTAAATAATAGCAGTAGAAATAATTGAGAAGTTGAGAAAGAAGAGAAAGAAAAAAAAATAGGGAAAATGAGGAAAATTAATAAACAGATAAAGAGAAAAAGAGAAAAGGAGTAAATGTAAAGAGAAAGAGAGAGAGAAAGAAGGGGAGAGAGAGAGAGAAAATTGAAAGAAAATTACTAAGAGTGATTCATGCTGTTATCACTCGACGTGTCAGTGATATTATTTCTTGTGCAAAGAAATTTGCGAGTGGCCAGCTCGAGAACGCACGCAATACTAAAGAGCAAGTCGTGTTTTCTCAAATACAACCAACCGTCTTGATGCCATTTCACTACTACAGAACTATTTTGCCAGGGTAGGGTATATACTGTATATTAACGATACCACTACCATTAAATCGTTGCAACGTTGCCAGTGTTGTGCAGCCTGCATACCGAATCATTTCAAACTTGAATTTCCAGTTTCAGAAGACAGAAATAGCGATGGTCGATGGTCAAGTGCAAATTACATTTTACTATCCATATATTTATAGCGCTTTTACCTTAATATTTATTATACTTATTCTTGTAATTTCTGTTACATATACGCAATGATTATTTTATATGCAATAAAAATGGAACAACAATGAAAGAAAAGAAAAAAATAGTGATTTCATATTCATATATTATAGTTATTAAATTATTTACAATCAAATGAGAGACGGATGTACTTATCCCTGTTGAGTAGATTACACATTTCGTAAGTGGGCGTCAACATCTGTAATTTAGATATTATGTATTTGACATTGGATAGTGGAAAAATTGAATTATCTCCTAAATAACGGATATACGTCATACAGACTGAACATCAGTAGTCTCAATACATTTATAAAAAATTCTAAAAAAAAAAGAAAACAATGTATATAATACCAATATGGGAAAGCAATAAACCATATTTAAGTGAAATATAGAATAAGTGAAAAATATATAGATTAAAAAACATCGAAAAATAAATAAATATAGAAAATATCAATAAAATTGCGTGAATGTGTTCTACACCTCTCTCTCTTTCTCTCTTTCTCTCTCTCTCTCTCTCTCTCTCTCATTATAAACGTGCGATTAAATTTTCTATTTTAAAATCAATACTCTTATAATAGTTACTAATCATTCTTAATATTTACTAATTTATTAATTAAAATAAATCCTATTGGAAGTATATCATATTCAAAATATTAATTAGCATTTATATGAGGAAGAGTTTTGAGGGTTATAAGTAATTACAAGATAAATACAAAAAGAATGATTTGTATTATTAAAGCAATAAATATATAAGTGCAATGAGGTAAATGAAATCAGCGATCACAATCGTTGAATTAGCATTGTGTTCATTACGTATATATATTTTATAAGACAATATTTTCTACTTATAAAATAACTTACACTCTATAAAGTATAAAAACAAATTTTAAAGTTTAATGCGCGACGCGATTTAAGAATATGATGCACGTACAATATGCACATATGTATATAACAGAAAAACGCGATATATAATTATAATATATCGTTTGTTAAAATATTAATAGTACTACTTATACATTACTACTTGTTATTCGAGAAATCCATTTAAGATTAAATTATGCTGGAGGAACACTCGCATACTTTGATTTGTTTTGTTGTCAAAAACCTTAACTCACTATCAATATATACTATTATATATACTATTCTCTATTCAAGTATAATTAAGTATTATAATAATATATATTATAACAATATATTATAAAATGTTCGACGCATAGTATTTAAATCTTAAAGCCTAGCATAATATCTTAGCATAATATTTAAATCTTAAATGGATTTCTCGAATAATATATACTAATGTATAAGTAATACTCTGCCTTCATTTGAGCAGTATGTTGAGCTAAATGTAAATGTAGTTCAAATATTGTAATTGAGGAAAACTTTGCTTACATGTAATTACATTCTACGCATGGGTCACAAATCATAATGATATGCACCATGCTAGGATAATCAAATTTGGCACTAACACACGCAATTGTTCACTCATCGAGTTCATGATTACGGTACACCGTACACTCTTGAAAATATCGCTAAAATACACTCTTGAAAATCAAGATTTTCCTATTATTTTCTACGATTTGTTACAAATAATACACACTTAAGGAACATTTCTTATAGACTACGGTCAAATCACAGTCTGGTATGTTTGCCAATTTCATTGGTCACGTCGATAGAAGCGGTCTTCAATGCATTGAGTTTCTCCACGTAACTGTTGTCCAGTTGTAACCTGCCTTTGTCATCCATGAATCCTTGAAGAGAAGGAACTCTTTCTATCCCTTTCTCGGTACTGTCAGCGATGGATGCCACCGAGGAAACAGTAGCATTCGTAGCGTCGTTTTTATTCCCGAGTCGGGTACTACTGGCATAGAGTCTTTTCTTCCCGGGAAATAGAGACGCTACTTTTCGCGCCATAGGATGTAGCAAATGCTCCTCGTATTTGTCCGATTCGGTATCGGCCGTAATCAAGCTTACGAGGATACCGATGACGACCGTCGTTACGCTGCCAATAAAAGCGTAATACATATACGTGATCCCGTAAAGGACATCTAGAGGATCGGACGATTTATCAGACTCGTCGATAATAGATGACGGCGTCGTGATAGTCTCATACATTTTCGTCCAGTTAGAGACGTTTGGCGTGGAATAATCTAAACTAATTGGTTTTGTGACCCATGACGAAAACGTCTCATTGTGACAATCTTCCGTCGATAATGGCAGCGTCTTTGTTACGGTATCCAGACTGAGATGACCGAAGGTGATCCACAACGTCGTTACGTGGCTAAAGAGCATTCCAGCGGCGGCACCTTTCCAATTGGCGCAAGGTACTAACATGGCAAGGAGAAATACTCCAAGAAGAGGTCCGGACGTTGCCGACGTCATTAACATAGAAGATTCTATCACGCCTGATAGCATGGCTACTAGAAAACTAATGCCGATTATCAACAGACCGTACACAACGCCGATAATTTTGATCGTATTGAGCTGCTGCGTATCTTTAAGATCTCTCAATGCCGGTATATGACTTAGAAAATCCTCGAATGTCACCGTCGCGAGAGAATTAAGATTCGATACTGCCAAAGTTAAGGCGCTGTTAAATAGAGTTGCCATTACTAAACCGAGCATGCCGGGTAGGTGGAGGAATTTATCTTCGACGTAGAATGGTACGATCTCGTCGATTTTGGATATGTATCCCAGAGAGAGTGGATCACAGTCGGCGTAATTAGCGAAAATGACCATTCCAACGATCCAAGATAGCGAGAATAGGATTGTTATTATGGGCATGTTAGCCATCATCGTACTGAAAAAACAAAAAGTATTCTTTAGTCACGAAAAAATTCGAAAACAACTTGAAATAGTAAACTATTATATATACGTATATATGTGAGAGACAATTTAAGAAAAATTGATATAATAGTGCTAAATCCGGAATAATAGATGCAAAGATCGTTTAATTATATATGACAGTTGTAAAAAATATTATATAATTATTAATTGTATGTACATTTATTTTGTAAAAATCTTCTAAATTCTCTCTCTCTCTATTATATATTCCAAAAAAATTTTTTTATAGAAAAGATTTATTACGTTTGATAAAAAGTAAAGAAAGTAATAAATATTTGTTGAAAGAATTCTGTCAATATATGAAGCAAACAGGTGGGAGAACAATTACATAACAATTACATAACATTTATTCTTATAATCGTTTTTTAACTTCTCAAGATAAGAGAATATTATTGCAACTTAACAATGTAGAAAAAATTAAAAACTAAAAATTTTAAGATAATTAGAAAAGATAAAAAGATAAAATAAAAATGAAAGATTATATTTTTAATATTAGAAAAAATTTAATTGTTTTATTTGTGCATTAATTAATGCGAATTACATACATTACGGAAAGATTTAAACAAGCTGTTTATTTTTTAAAATCCTTTTTTTATAATACTTAAATATTTTTAATCGTAATTCGCATTAGTGCATAAACAGAAAATTAAATATTTTCTAATCCATTTCGATGGATTAATTTAAATTTTCATCGTGAAAGTTTAGAAAAATGTCTAGTATAACCACTTACGTATAAAATACATCACGTTAATATACATTAGTATGAATGAACATCACAGAAGCGTAAATTTTTTGCTAACAAAATGGCGATGTAGTCATTTAATATAATTTTGTGATGTCTCTAGATATAGCTTGTATTATAGTAAGAAATGTAGAGGTTTTAAGCGACTTTAATTTTTCATCATTTTAAGTAATTTCACTTTTTTATTCTTTGCGAGACATTTATTCAGTCACATTAAACAATAAGAGTGTATGCGATTTCATCCTAAGAACATATGCCATCGTTTCTTCGTTTAAATTGATATTTTAAACCTTAATAAATGATGAGGATTTCTGTACTAAAAATTTGGCGCGGCGCCATTTCACTTCCCACGGGGGTCTTTCATTGATTATGTGATAATAGTACTGTGGGTACAATTTGTTAAATCGGTTCGCGATCGTTACCACTTTCAAAAATCTTTTTATCGCCGATGCGAGAAATCATTGCCGTAAAATTATTAATCCATTGTTACTGATTGAAATTTAATTTACACATCATCTAAAGTATATTTAACACAAAAATAATACCATATGAAAACTTTTCTTATTTGACTTGATATACGAAGATTATTTTTATATGAATGATCTTATAAACTATATTTCGTAGTTTATTGTATGGAAAAGCGGTAAAAAACGAATGTGCGAGTGACGAAGAAATTTTACTAAAATTCTGAAGATAAATTTCTGCTGAGATCTTAAGAGCGTTTCATGACTATGTCTCTGGATCAGATGTGTAACTTTATTTTTCTTACGAAAGTATCTACTTGGCTTCCTCCGACGATACATTTGCGGGTAGTAAAATTTTACGAACCAACGTGATGCATACATTCTACGTGATATCTCAACTTGGCGCAACAAATTTGTGGTCGCGCACGTGTGAACGCTTTTATACTCTTTTGATTACCGCCGGACAACTAACTGAAAAATACTCGATTTTACGCTGACTGCTGTATACGTTATGTGACAATTGCAACGCGTGTCAATATTTCGCAAAATTTCATCACGGTTACAGATGCACATATGCGCTACCTCAATTGTGCAAACAGCGATATTTATGTGCTACAAGGGGATAATACGTATTTCAAATAATAAAAGATTACAAATGAAATTGTTCATCAACATAAAAAGAGACGTTTTCAAAGATTAAATGTAACGCATACAAGCGGGAATTCTTTAATTTGTTCGCGTATATTATTGAAGCACTATTTTACGGAAATATACTTTTAAATCTTTTAAAAAAAATTGCTATTTATCAATACGATTTTTTCTAAAAATCAAGAAAAAATTGTGTTTTATTAATTTAATAACATCTACTATTCTTTAACTCCTGTTTTCTATACATTTGTAATTATATTAAGTTGATCTGAATTTTAATACATTATATTTAATATTAAAAGACGAGAAAGCAAAAAAATAATTTAATGCATGAAAATCATATATATATATATATATATATATATATATATATATATATATATATACTGTATGGAAATTACACATTTAGACTACGAGAAAATATTAATTAATAATAATAGCTAGTATATAAAATGATATATTATTTTCATAATTTAAAAAATGTACAAAGTACGTATGGTAAATTAAATTCATTGATTAAAATAAAAGTTTTTTATAGATAAAATATATAGAAAAAATATAGCTTTATAAGTTGTATACATTTAATTTTTAGAATATAATTTTAGTTTCGTTATTTGTATATTTTAGATTTAACTATTTTAATATTTTTATAATATTTTTTAATTTTTTACAATTCTTAGTCATAAAACGTCTCTGTTTTCCATTCTAAATGGATTTCATGATTATATTGTACTTATATTTTTTGTTTTTTTTTTCACTGGCGTCATTTTAATCTGTAAATTCTTATGTTAAGATAAGAGTTATTTACATCATTTAATATGAATTATAATTCATTAATATGAATCATAATTCACGTGTTGATGAATCATTAGTCAAAGAGTTACAGAAAGAATTTCAACAAGTCACGAGTAAATATGTGTATGCACAATATCAGGCAATAACTGACATATATGGCAGAAATTAATAAAAGAAAGTTTACGAATGTATATCCGGAACACCTTTTGTGCAGAATATTTCGATGTGTTTAAGATAAAAATTAAAATTCAATTTTTGTCTAAAAATTTCAGTTAACATTATCAACACTATCAAATTTTATGTTAATTTAATTCTTGATGTACAATTTTGTACCATTAGCAAAGGATTTTTTATCGAGTTTAACGTTTTCTTTTATTGACTACTTTGTGCACTATACGTGTACGCGTTTGTGCTCGTAATTTCCATTTACATCTTGTACGCATAAAGTGATAATTTACGGAACACTTTGCATAAATCACATTAGCCTTTAGATTGTTCGATGAGTTGTAACATATATACGAGTTGCATAATGTGTTATACAAGTCTGTCGTTTACCGTTGAGAGAAGAGCGAGTAAGGGAATTGTTAGAAAAGTTTTGTTCAGACAAAGTTTACTTACTGGACAACCTTTTTTTGACTGGACATACTGCAATATCTCTGGACAAAATTTTGTTGACATCCGAAAATTGATAAACTCATGAAGAGCTGACCCAATGTCGCCGATACTGTCGTTACTCGAATAGTTGGATCCATATCAAAGCTGAAAGATAGATACAAATTATTAAATAAATAAATGTTGCACGTATATGTATATATATATATATATATACATATATATATATATATATATTCTACGTGCGCACAATATATATATATATATATATATATATATATATATATATATTGTGCGCACGTAGAATCTAGGAATATTAAATTATCTCTAAGCTTTGCAATTTGAAAAAAGAGTAATTATTTTATTGTTTCTACAAAATTTTTGAAGGATGCAAAAAATGCACAGCATGTGAAATAATTTTGCGCTGTGGAATTTAATAATTTTAAATTGTGAAATGCGTAGTGAGGAATTTTAATATAAAATCACATTTTAACATTATTTAATTTACTGACGGTTAATTGGAATTATAAATATATTTTCGTTCGTGATTATTAATTCTAAAGTTCAAAAATGACATGCGAAAATGTAACAACAAGAATTTCGCATTAGATATTTCATATTAGATTATCAGTCAATTATATTGAAATAAAAATTAGATACACATGTTTGAGGAATAATTATCAAGGGACATACTTAAAAAAATCCAAGCGTCCACGTTCCGCAGTCACATTAAAGACTTTATCTAGCCCACCGATATTAACAGTTCCCTGTATGATGATTACCACTGATACACCGATCATCGTCAGACCTTGTATTACGTCCGATAAAATGGCAGCTCTCAAACCTCCCTAAAAAAATGGAAGATATGTACATAAATATCAGTATTCGCAAATTATAAAATAATACGATAAATCATTGATTAAATAGCTAAATTAATACGAAATAATACAATAATTGTTTACTGCGCTATACATAATAATAATAATAATAATAATAATAATAATAATAATAATAATAATAATAATAATAATAATAATAACAAATATTTTAACAGAAAAATAGATTATTATGTGTCTTATTATTTCAAAAGTTTAAGAACTTTATTAAACGTTATATTCTCATTATTTTCTATGTTGCTATCATTATTCGCCTGTTCAATGCGTTTTTTCACGCTTAATTGATTCAATTTTCTACAGGCTGAATATATTAAGTAATTTGCTGGAATGTAATTTCTCACAAGTTTACCAAAATTAGATTATAATTTTAACTTTTCACCTAAAATATCAGGCTTTCCAAAAATATTACTGCTCTTTTACGAACCATCATAAATAATTTATTTTTTCGCAAAGATTGAAATTGATGTAATTTTAATTTCAAATCGTTTTTATGCCATTATATGCTACAAATAAAAAGAAATATATCTTACACTTAATAAAATTAATTAACATATTACAATTAGCAAATTGAACAAATTAACACTTTACGAGAACAAAATTATTTTTCATCATTATGAATATGTAAATATGAAAAATATTTTCGTATAAATATTTTATGCATATTGCATTGCATCGAATTCTCTACAATTTTAATCTATATAGTTTATATGAAAAGCATTCATTACTCGACTTTAAACGAAATATTCGACAATTTGCATTATTTCGTATTTAGAAAATTTGTTTAATAAGTGAACGCCAACATTTATGAAACGTACGGTATAATGTAATTGTTCTTACCATAATTGTGAAAGCCACAGAAATAGTTGTTATTCCTACAATACTAGCCCAATATGGGAGTCCTATCACTGTTTTCAATGCGACGCAAGGAGTAAACACCGTGACTGCTAAATTTAAGAGACTCCGTATGACGTACGAGAAACTCGCCAGACATCTAACTAGTTTTGACTTGAACCTGGGAAATTTGCATAATTAAGAGAAACTAAAATAAAAGATTCGGAGAATTACGTGCTAACTGGACCGTTATGTATGATAATGTATTCTTCCGTCACAGTTAAAATTATTAAAATCCAAAGTTCGTTTCCAAATATCATCACATACACATACAAAAACATCTTCTTTTTTTCCCTTATCTCTTATTTCTTTTATCTCTGTTATATCAATTTATGTTCTCTCTTATGGTAGCTTTGTTTTGACATGACGAATAAATACATGACGCACAAATTATACATGATGAATAAATGTTTACATACGAGATACTAGATTTATGCAAAATATTAATTTATTTATTCAATTAGAGAGAGAATTCTTAGTATTCTATGTTTAAATAAAAAGTTTCACGATAAATTTCTTCTCTTTGTTTTTTAAATTATTTTAAAATCGATCCATTTCGATTATTATTGATGGAATATCAATACAGTGTATTTTTAACTGAATTTCATACATCATTCATCGACTTAGTCCAGTTACCACATAGTTTACTTGGCGTGCCAAATATAATTGATATAATTCGTGCAAGTGATGATAAACAGTGTTATTTTCGTGCAAAATTCGAGAAATAATATTACACGCCATGTTTTCGAGAAGAAACAAGAACCATGAAATTACCTCATGTCCAGATATTGGTAGACCGACGTGATACCGAGACTGTAGTAAACAGGTACGAAGATAAAGCAGACGATAGGATAGGCGAGCAACATTCCATACAGGGTCTCCCACATGGCGCTACCTCGATAATACAGTTCCGAAGGATAACCCAGGAAGGATCTGACGCCGAGAGTTCCCCGCGCGATTGACAGCATCATCGCGCCCATCGACACGCTGCCGGTGGCAAACACATAGTTCGCCTTGGTCTCCTTTTTCTTCGTCCTGAAGTTCCCCCATAGTGGTATTACGAAGGAAATCACGATGAACCCGATGAAAACCAGATAGTCCACCACCATTGATGTAACGTTGGTCGTCATCCCGTATCCACGGCCGCTTCGTAACGCCCTTCCGTGATCGAGGTTGGTCTGTGTACCGAGATTACGAGGGTTGCTGAGTTTAACGGCGATTCGTATCGAGAGAGAGTGTGTCGCTCAATATACGACGAGATTCTCGATTACTTGGCGTCAAGTGGCTTTTGAAAGACCCGAGTGCTTGTCGAGTGCTACCGCGACGATTGTTCCTATCGAAAAGTGTCGACCGGAGCGATGTTACTTTTAAACGCGATTCTTGTCTCTTGTTGACTTTCGTCCGACTGATGCCAGTCGGAGAGAGCGAGTATCACTCGAAAAGATGCTTTCCACTACGAAGGTAGAATATATGCGCGATAAGTTTCGGTAGAGAAATAAAGGAGCGCGTCTGTAACGTACCCTTATATTACGACCGCGTGCGCGCGTAGGCCTCGTTATGCAATTTCACGAGACACACTAATATGACTCAATACGATCAATGCGGCGTGATCGGAACGACGGCACGTATTGACTACCAACGAAGTGAAGTACTTGACGCTATTATGCTAACGACCCAGCAGGAAAGAGAAACGATATTGCCCCACGCGGAAAAGAGACAGACGAAGGAATAGAGTTGGTGGGATAGTGAAGCTAAAAGGAGAGGGAGTCCGGAAGAACGTGGTCTTCTTATCTTCTGTCGCTATTGTTTATCGGTGTCTTGTCGGCGCTCCTGTAAGCTCTTTCCATTGAATTTATATCCCGCTCCTGCTCCTCCCGCGAAAGAGGACGTCATATGATTCTCTCGACAGCGTAATTATTGGCGCGTGATCTATTGTGAACGAATTTATGCAACAGGCTGTAATGAATGTAATGAATTTAAATTTGATGACAGTTTATATCAATTCCCGCATCTTTTTTAAATATATTCATTCTTAAAGAGAAAATATGGTCTTGTGTTGACGCAAACTAAAAATTATTAAAATGATTAAAGCTATTGTTAGCACACATCACAAACTTATTTTGCTAAAAATGTTCTAATGAGCATGCCTTTGAATATGTAAAATGTATATTGTATACGAGATATTTCGAACTTGTTTTATGTATAAAGGAAAGGAAAATGAATTTTTATATGAGTAATTATAAAGCTTTTCCACAAAGCTTAATTATCAGTGTAATATGAATTAATTGGCACGTTGAAGTTTATTCACATTTGCATTTTCCATTGTAAATTCTTAATGAATGGATAAATAAAATTAATATCTCGGACAATTTCAGATTTTAAAAGGCGATTTTCTCTGGAAGAATAATATCGTGATATTACATTCATATATATATATATATATATATATATATATATATATATAATATTATATATAATAATATATATATATATAAAATATTATATATATATAATATTATATAATAATATATATATAATATTATATAATAATGTACACTTTAATATGACGATTTTAAACATTTTAAAAAATAAATCATCTCAGAATATCTGTTTACAAGTTTATTAATTTAAAAAAAGGAATTTATTTTCATTCGGCGAAATATTGTGAAATAATGTACGAATGATACAATAGGAAAAATTGATATTTATATAATTTATATGTAATTAAAATTAATATAATTTATATATCAAAAATGATAAAACTCGTTATTATAAATAATTTTATATGTTAACACGTGTAATCAAATTTGTGAACTTTTAAAAAGGATAAGGGCTCAAAATTCTAATTATATCTTACAGAAAAAGTTTTAAAATAAAGGCGATAATTTTAATACGTTAAACTTTTTATTACATTGATTCAACGGTTATTACAGAGAAAACATAAAATCTCGTAATTTTTGTGAGGAATGATTAATCTGAAAATCCTTGAACAAAGGATACTTTTCTAAATCATAATTGGATTGTATATAGTAAACACTTTTCATGACGAGTATTTAAGTTCTTTCTGGCACATGCTGTACATAGACAGACAGTAGAGAAACGAAAGATATATGGTACTTTTCATTCGTTATGATATTATTCTCTTCGTAGTTCCCTGATAAAACTGTTTACAAAAAACATTATTTAGCACAGATAATGCATAAGGACTTTATAATGCTTAATCATTGGTGCTATGATTTCCTTCAGATGTTAGCAATTACGCAATTACACATCTGTGGACGTGTACATCATTCGCTATCTAATCATCTCTAAAACCTTGAGTTTCTTAACACTAGAACGATCGAGCAATCATCTTGACCTCAAAAAACTTCCATCTGTCATAAAATCTGTATTCTTATATTAATTATTTAATTAATTATTATTAGAGAGTAATGGAGGGAATTATTCTTATACCAACGATTTATAATTCTCCGCTATTCTAATGATAAATGGATATGCTGTATGTAAACTCTTAAGAATGGAAATCACAATTAAGTCTTATGGAAGCACCATCTTCAACTCGCAGACGAACAATGCTCTTCCCTCATTCCCGGACTACCACAAAGATTCGCAAAATTGAGACGAGAAAGTAGCGAATTGTGCTCGGCACTCCTTCGTGGTAACTCCTCCGCAGTCGTCCAAACCACTTTCCATTTTCCATCATTCAACTTTGTTCCTTATCCCGTGCAATGCCATGGTCCGCTCAACGTGGAACAATACTGAGTACACAATGCACATTTACGTGATATGCGTTTGGTGTACAAAATGACAAGAAGGACTTGTCCGGATGGTGTGCGCGTTAACGCGAGTGGCCAATGAGGTGCCAGTCTTGGTAGAGCTAACACAACCGAGAATCCATTGTATCACAGTTGAAAACAATGGTATGCGATTCTTCCTTCTCTCTCTCTCTCTCAAACTTTTCTTCTCCATCCGCTTCCCTTTTACTCCGGTTCTATTTTCCGTTTCGCTTTTAGCTCGTTCTCTCTCTCCGAGTTTTCTCGAGAATGTGACAGTTCCTTCCACATATTTGTCTGCGCTCCTCTCAGCAGATCTCGCTTTTGCTGCTCTTACACGATGTCTATTTTCATTTCATGTCCGATCGCCTTTCTTGCGTTGACTACCGGTTTTATGGCATTCATTTTCTTTTCCTTTTAAATTTTCACATTTCTTACAGAATCGAAAATTATTTTTGACATTTATCATCGATATAAAAACGACAGGACGCATTTAGCGTGCAATAAAGAATTGGTAAAATGTTCATGACGCCAACGTAGCATTTACGAAAGCACGTGTGCATGAGGGAGGAATCGCAAACTAGTCAAGTGCGAAAATCGCAGCTAAATGTTCTGTAAACGGTGCGCCCGACGAGGTTACGGCCAACTCGAGCGAAACGAGTTCCGGAGATGTACCATTATTTCACGACTTTCTCAGATCACAGGTCATGAGAGATGCAACTTGGATTATTATTCCAAGTAATGGCATTGCTTAAGGCACTTGACTTTTACCGACATCTAATAATATATTTGTAATATCAACGAAAGACTTCTGTCTAATCTTCTATAAGAAGTATAGAACTAAAGAAGCATAGAATCTAATTTTTATCTAATACTAAAAATTATTTCCAAATTTCATAATTAATTTTATTTATTATTGACTATGATGTTAATTATTTTAATACATGCAATTTTTGTTTGCAACAGTTATTTATGTGAGATATTAAAATTAAACACTTCATGCATACATAAAAGTTAAAACGATGAAGTCATATCCTTTTTACATTGTCGATAATAAATCAATGTTGATTTGAAACAACAAATTTGACTTTATCTATATTAATGGTGAAATGTGATAAACTAACATAACTGGAATAGCTTCCGGTGGGTTACATGTACTTTATGACTCATTGTCAGACAAGGAACTGATTTTTGACTCTTTGATATAAATAACAAAAAAAAAAAGATTGTCATATAAGATTTACATTGCCACTTAATATTCCATTGATAGAACAAACGATAAAACTCGTTAGGGGGCGTGTACTGGTGCCAGTAAAATGTTATTTTTCCGCGTATTATTTATTCATGAATGATGCATTAATGCTGAATAATAATATCGTCGAATATGCAATATGCACATATATTTAGAGATTTCATATTGTTCAATAATAAAATATGATATTTTTTGTCACATCCCAACGAAAAATGGAATAAATTATTGTATATTATAAATCAAGTTGCATGCGAAAACATGGAACGCTTTTAAGTTGTTCGTTTTAAAGACGAAAGTTAAATTCTTTTGCTCTTTTTATGTGTTTTTCACGTGTTCATGATCATGTGCGAAGAAAAATAAATAATTTTAATTATCGCTTTATATTATCTAATAGAGCGAGTTTTTTAACGAGGAAAAGAGAGAGAAAGAGAGAATCATGAAAAATCATCTTAATGAAGCACGCAACATCTTTCGCAATATATATGATTTGGTGAAAATGGAGAAAATAATGTCGATAAAAATGATGAAAAAAAATTTATCGAAAAAAATGAGATAATAAACATTGTTATTTTGTACTACACTTTATCTTGTTAACTACAGTTTTGATAAATCTCTAACTTAATTTTTTTTGTTGATTTTGATAAATTTACTTTATGATTTATCATTTATCTTATGGTTTATAACCAACTATCTTAATATATATTGACCTCTGCTAAAGTCTTATAGTTAAGAATTTATAATTAACTGTAAACTGCATTTAACATTATCAAATATTACGCATGACCTTAATCAAATTTAAGCTAACAGCGATCATGACTACTGTGAATGATACCAAATTTTCCACTGACTTATCACACAAGTGTTGAAACTTGAGGCAATTCTCGGCTTAGTATGCTGTTTTCACAGATCGGATGTGTTTTCGAGAATCAACGAAACCAAATACTCATTTATTTGTACGAAAACGCCGGCTATAAATCATATAGCCGGCTATAATTCATTTTGCAGCAATTCTAGTGTACATATCATAAATAAAATTTAAAAAAATAAGTTAGGAATATCTGATATACTTCATTATTCTCTAGTTGTTACTGTTCTCGATGAAATCTCACAAGGTCATCACGTTAATTCGTACATCAATTTTTCTATTTTGGAGCATTAAAAAAATATATAAGTGGTATTATATTGTTATCACAAAATTATCTGTTAGGTATATCGTCTAAATTGTTGTTATCAACATTGGAATATAAATTATAAAGAAACTTTTACGAATACATGTGTTACAGCTCAATTGTGTGCGGAAACATTCGGTAAATATTCGATCGGTTTGCAAATTTAATCTATTCGTTATCATTTTACAATAAAACCATTTAAATTGTGGAATTTATTGCCAAAGCTATAAAGTTATACGTACTAATTCATGAAATAAACCGAACCTCGTTAGTTTTATCTCTGGGAATAGACAGATCTCGTGATGGAAAAAGAAAACAATAGGGAAGATGAAATAAATGCAAACAAATGTATAACAACTAAGCTAAAGGATAATTGAAATCGTTCTATATAATTTGAATTCCAATATATACCAGATATATTTATTATGTATATATTATAACAATATATAATAAATGTATATATACATAATATACATGAGCGAAAAATATTAGTTATTGTTTAATTTTAAAATATATGATTTATGCAAAATCTTCGCTAGATTTTCACATTTTTCATACGATTTTAATATTAGCATAAAGAAAGAATTCTCAAACATTGTAGTTAGGTAATGTAATCAGACAAGTTTGTGAAATGCATTATTAAAAAGTGGAAAATAAATAGAAAGAGGGAAAAAGAGAGAAAGAGAGTTACGATCAAGTTTGAAATGTCGGTTGGAGCGTTCATTGGGCTTCGAT